GTCTTTTTAACCATTACAAGTAGACTCAAAAGGTGAAAATCAAAAGTACAGACTAACTCAACCCTAAACCTACGCAATCCTGAACGTGGCTCCTTCTTAATCGTCCGATCTTCGATTCTTGAAAAGTTAGAAGCAACAAGTAGTCCAAGAGAAATAGTGTTTGTCAATCATCAAAACATAAGACATAAAAAAATAGGTTTGCAACAGTTATTGTTGTTCTTTGACATCAAAACTATTTTGTAGGTACCGAATGGCTTATGATGGAGCTATTTCAACACTTCCGGGGAAGGAACAATGGTCTATACCAACTGATGGCAACTTTGTTTGTCCACCTATTACAGTAAGACCTTGTGGACGACCAAAGAAAAGACGCATTAAGAACTTTTTGGAGGGTGCAAATAAATCAAAAATAAGTCACAAATGTGGTCGATGCCATTCTTAGGGACACCATAGAAATACTTGCAAGGAACCTATAAGTTTTAAAGGAGATGATAATCAGACTGATTTTGCTTCAAAATTACCCATTCGACGCTCCAATTACAATTCTGATCTTGATTAAAACATTACATTTTGTATGACTTTTGAGTCAAATACTTACAGCTCTACTTTCATTTATATGATTTTTTTTGGTTGGGATAGATTTTTGCTTCTGTATTCTATTTTTTGTTCTATTATTTATTGAAGAATGGTAAGACTTTTGTTTTTGGTTAGGAAAGTTTTTTGCTTCAATCAGGAATTGCCCTATGTTTTATTCTGTAAATAAATGAATGCTAGTCTTAATCTCAAGCTGATTGGAAAAAAAATTTGGGGCCATGCTTCTATACAGAAAACTAATGCGCGGTTTTCGGCTGTGTATCATAACTAATAAGGAATCATCAGGACGCATTTAGAGCCAGTTTGAAATCAATTATTAAATCAATTTTCTTCTTTGACTCCACATCCATATCAGAGGACGCAATTTGCTCTCGGAGATCTTACAGGGATAAAGAATCATCTTTTTAGGAAACATGGTGAGAAGAAGTGGAAGTTTGAGAAGTGCTCAAACAAGTATGTTGTTTACTCTGATTGGAAAGCAATCAAAATGATTACAAGACAGCAAGAAAAAAAAATGGCATGTTTTTGAATAAGCATGCTTTTTATCTGTTAGAAATCATCCTTGTATTAGCATGATGCCGAATAAGTAGAACATACAAATGCTCCAATAGTAGCAATAGTAGATGTGAACGATCACAACATATTTTATAGCTCGTCAGAAGTAGTTCAAGTTTGCATTGATTGAAAAAAAATTTACATCGACTCATGCTTACATTGATTGAGTAAAAGTTATAGTGACGCAAAGTGATAATTACGCACAACTACATTTAATTACTATGAACGCTACAATAACATTAAGGAAAATCACTATGACCAACAAGATTTTTAATTGTAACAGCTCGGCTCTAACTGAAAGTACATGCATTGTACCACTTTCAGCAACGTTTGAACTGCGGGAATTGCTATCATACGGAAATTCATTAACTTCATCACACCATAGAAAATAATGGCAATCGTCTTCTGATCTATTCCGAGAGCATCTGTACTATGAGATTGGTAAGATTTAAATATTGTACATTGTAAGTTACAATGACAATATACTTTATTACTTAATTTTCTGATTGACATAGGCGAGGAACTCGAACTCACTGTAAATTGCCTTGTAGATTGCCTTCACAAAATACACAAAAAAAAAAAAAAGAAAAAAGAAAATGAAGACATGTATAAGCAAACAATTGCCTTCACATTCAATTCATTCCAAAAATACACATTGACATTTCATCAAAAACCAATTGTGCATTTTTAAACTTACAAATACAAAATAGTAAATGAAAGCTTGAGAAGTTCACCCTAAACAACTAATGCAGAAGATTTGTTACATGTTGCCAAATGGACTAAATAACAACAAAAACTTCATATGAACCAGCCCAATATAAACCTGTTAAAAAAAGGTGAAAAAAAAAACAGGACAGAAGAACCTGTCGTGTGAAAGGGCGAACGGGCCAAATGCTTAGCATGCGACGTCACTGGAGAAGTCTTTGCGGTGAGTTCGGACGGTGAAGAGGTGAACGAGGTCGGAAAGGGCGGATGTGCGAATAAGAGCGGAGTGACAAACGGGAGAGGCCAACAATTGTCACGGAAGTGTTATAAAAGCTTTAAAATGAGAGTTTGAGGTGATATATTAATAAATAGGTAACTTTAGGTGTTTAATAGGTAAATATGATACTTTTAAATGTTATACATGTAAAAATCTCTCTCTTACTTGTAATCATCTTTTAGGTTAATACACCCCTAATTTTTCAAAAAAAAAAAAAAAAAAAAACATCTCCCGTCGAGAAATTTCAATAGAAACGCGAGAGGGGGAAGATTAAAAAACGCAGTTCTTTGGCTGCGAACTCGCCGTACCCACTATCTTCTCTGGAACTCTCGTTGTGGGATGCGAAGCGGAACCACCCAAATCGAGAGAGAAAGAGAGATCATTGTCTTACGCGGCGGATGTCGTGCCCGTCACATGCTTTCGGGTACAACGGAAGTTACTGCGCATGCAATCCAGGATACTGGCAGCAGCCCAACGGGAGCTGCGCGCTGTTCTCCGGCGGCAGCGACTGGATCACCAGCTCCGGCGTCGGCTCCTCTTCCACTATCCTCACCTCGGTACTTCCCTTGGACAACATCCGCCGCTTTACACTGTCTCAAGCCGTGCTACTTGAGGCCACACTGGGGATCCTACTCGTCTGGCTCCTTTTCTGCTTCCTTATCCGCTTTGCCCCGCTCCGCAATGACAGTCATTCAATCTGGTTTCGTCTCCGCTGGTGGATTAGCCGAATCGATTGCTTCTTCTCCGCCGAGCATTGGTTGGTCAGTTCCTGTAATCCTGTTGTTATTATTTTACGTGATTGGGTGCACCCTCTTGTTTTTTGGGATAATTTTTTATGCTAGTTTGTTTTGAAAATTTTGATTTCAAATGCGTAACAGCTTTTCATCGGTGAGATTAATCTAGGCTGAATGTATAAATCTTCAAATCTTTGGGGGGACTTTTACTGTTTAGGTATTGACTCAATATCACGAATCTGATGATAAGGTATGTTTCAAGCCTCTTGTCTCAATATTATGCATGAATCGGATGTTGAAGTGTGTTTCAAGTGTGAAAGCATGAAATTAGGTTTGGTGATTTGTTTTTTACTGGCTTAGTATCCATGCCTTGATCACATTATGGGCTAGGTATCAAGTTACTTATGAAAAGGCTTAAATATGAGTTAGGTGGCTTGGCAGTGGATTGGTGGATATATGAGTGTATTTATAAAAACTTAATTCACAATGGAGCATAAGATAATCTTAAGTTCTTTTGTAAGAAGTTGAGAAGGGATTGAGAAGAGAGAGAAGAGAGAGAAGATAAGAGATAAAAAGAAAGGGAAGGAAATCACTAGAAGTTTGGTTTTATGTGTTTGAAGTATCATCTCGATGAACTTATGGTACCTTTTTGAAAAATGTCTGAAGTGATAATTTTTATGTATTTTTTTGATTGCCTTTCTTTGTTATTTCTCTTAAATTTTTTTGTTCTTCTTTTGTGAGACTTGGGTCCTTTTTTTTTAATAGGGAGCTAGCTTTGAGAAAGGCTGATAAATGTCTTTTTAATACTCCATGATTGTGGTTTTTTTTTTGCAGATCAGACCCTATCTTTTATTTTATTGATGCATGCTTGTTTAATCCTAATCATGTGAATTTTGATTTATTCTTTTGCGATTAGAGGGAAATCTTTTGATAAATGATCTACCTCCAACCATGGTTGAAGTAATTTTTATGATAAGTTTTTGGATGCTATTTGCTTCTATTGTGAGAAGTAATGAAACATTAATAGAGATTATCATACTTTGAAGAGGAAAGAGAGTTGTAAATTAGTCTTGTTCCTACATTAGTTATGCTCTTTTAATGATTGCTGAAGATGAGTGCAAAGAGCACTAGATTAGGCACTCCTTCTTCTTCAATTCTTTTGTGTTCTACTTTGGAGATATTTTTCACATATGGGCCAAATTTTGATAGGGTGCTATGTGGTCTTGATGTTTTCTTGGGGTAATAGGGGGAGAGTAGCGTCTTGATGTGGTATTGCGGTTGATCTGAGTGCGAGAGATGTCTTTTGGGGGCGACATGTGCCATCAACTTGATTGTTGATGTATCTCATGTGAAGGTTTGACTCTAGCATGGATGAATGATGATTCTCCTGATTGAGAGAGAAACTTATGGGGTTGCCCTTACTGGGGAGGTCGACTACCTGGAAGATGTGGTCGAAGCTGGTCCGCTGTGCTCCAGTGCTTAGCTCCTTCCCAGATCCTTAGCGAGTCCCTCGAATGGACTATTCCGAGAGAGGAGTGGATCATTCTTTTGCTCGACCCAAACGTAACCTACAAGAAACCTGCGAATAGATATCTGCATATGTAGTCATGAGTGTACAATACTTACAAAGACACTTCTACTATTACATATGAGATAATACATTTGCATAAAACAATACATTCACATAAAGACAATAATAAATACTCTAACTCTTGTGTTCTTATTCTTGTGATGTCATTCTAGCTTTGGATCTTCTGGTTAGACTTCACTGTTCTTGACTAACTCTATGTGGCACATTAATTTCCTTGGACACAAAAAACTCTTCTCTGAAGAGTTGAAGTTCAAGTTGTGAGCTATAAGCTCTAGTGCTAGCTTCTACAAATAATCTTTTAAGCCAAGTGTTTGTAGTGTGATCTCCGACATGGTTTACTTTATCTACAATAATGTAAATCACATCAAACAATGAGTGTTGGTTTGACACCTACAAAGCGTTATTTTATGTTCCTGAAAAGAATCATCCTGTGTATTTAGAGGTTGACTAACTTTTTTTCTGATACAAGATCTTCCACATTAAAAATGGGTTTTAGAAAGAGTGATTTTATGTTCTTGAAAAGAATCATCCTGTGTATTTAGTGGTTGACTACTTTTTTTTTATGATACAAGATCTTCCACATTAAAAATGGGTTAATGTACATGTTTTTTGACAATTCAATAACATATGCGCATTCATGCCAATTTTTTTAATAATCTTAAATGGCCCATATGCCCAGCTTGTAATTTTCTAAATATAGTGGAATGATATCTTTCATAAATGATTTTTATTAAAATATGGTCTCTTATATTGAATTCTTTAAAGGTTTTTTTATTGTTAACTTCAGCTTATGTGTTGTATTATTGACTTCTATTTGTTGTTTTATATTTTCATGAAGGCTTCGAAAATCTTATGCAAATGAAAATGTAGAATCAGAAAATGTGTGTGTGGAAATTCTAGCAAAATCAACTGACTTTCTAGGGTTGTAATCATAGATTATGCTAAAGAGTATTTTGTTGATAGCCATAGAAATTGAACTATTATCAACAAACTTAGTTGTAGGATGATGAAGATCCCAAATCTGTAAATTTTTACCCATAATACTCGTAAGAAGGTTTCCTAAAGATATGTTGACAATTTGAGTTTGACCATCAAATTGTAGGTGAAATACTAGTGAAAACTTAAGTTTTGTACCCATCAGCTTCACAATATTTTTCAAAAATATGATACAAACTTGATAAGTTTATTGGAAATAATTTTGGAAGGAATTCCATGAAGCCTAATAATTTCTTTGAAGAATAACCTCATCATATGAGATGCATCATCGGATTTAGAGCCATATAAGAAATGAATCATTTTAGAAAATCTATCTATTATCACAAAAATACTGTCATGACCCCTGGGAGTCCTAGGAAGAGTAAATATAAAATCCATGGAAATATCTTGCGAAGACATAAATAAAATTGATAAAGCACAATTTTTCCAGCTTTCTATTTTGGGCTTTTGGCTTTCCTACATGTAGAACATTGGGTCACTATTTTTTGTACATCTCTTTTTAATAATGCCCAATAAAATCTTGACTTTAGAATGTGTACAATTTTTATTTTTCCAAAGAGTCCTGCTATTCCTCTTGAATGTTTCTCTAAGATAAGAAATATCCTCATTGAAGTCCTAGGAATACATAATCTCTTCCCTTTATAATGATAACTATCAATAATGGGATAATCACTACATGAATCGAGTAACACTGAATCTTTCTCGGCAGGATATTGATTTATTAGATGAAAACCAGGACAAACTTGATAATCATTTTTAAGTCTCTGAAATCCTCAAATTTGAAATTCCAAAAATTAAACTACCAAGGTCACCTTATAAAGTGTATCTGCAGGTTTATTTCCTACCCCATGCTTATGTTTTAGAACACAAATGAAATCCTGAAAGTATTCTACCTGTTTTGCATTCTTGCAATTTAATTTTTTTTGGATATTTATAAATTTTAGAGAATGGTGGTCAGTATTAAGGATGAACTCTCTATGTAACTGATAATATCTCTGTCATAGATTCTAAACAATGGCATAATATTCTCTATCTTAAGTAGAGTATCTTTACTTGGCATTATTCAGTTTCTCTCTATAGAAAGCTACAAGGCGGTCCTCTTTATTAAGAACTCCTATACCAACACTAGAGGCATTACATATGATCTCAAATGTCTTGTTGAAGTCTGGAAGCTTAAGGACACGAGAAGAGGTCATGAGAATTTTAGTTGTTCCATGGTTTGTTGTGCAAAAGTAGTCGAAATAAAGTTAGTTTTATTAAGGATGTCAATCATGAAAGCTAATCGTGCTAAAGTTTCACATAAACCTTTTGTAGGTGGTTAAATTATAAAAATTGTAGACATCTGTGAAGCTTTTACGAACTAGACAATCTAGAATAGTTTTAATTTTAGCATGGTTTACCTTCAAGCCATTAGCAGTAACAATGATTTCTAAAAAAGTGACTTAAGGTTGGCAAATTAAATATTTCTTGAGATTGATATAAAGCTTAGCTTCTTTAAGTTTAATCAGGTCGAGCTTTAAGTGATGGTGCATTTCTTATTGAGGATAAATATTAAAATATCATCGGAGTAGACCACCAAATAATTTTTCTACGTAAGGCTATATTCATTAGTGTCATGAATGTGTTAAGTGTATTTGATAATCCAAAAGGTATAACTAGCTTCTCATACAGTCCATTAGGGATTTTGAAAATAGTTTTCCATTCTTCTACTGCTCCACTTTGCATCTGATGATACCTACTTCTGAGATTTATTTTGAAGAAATGAGTAGCATTTTCAATAAGGTCTAACAGATCATCTCTTTTGGGGATGAGAAACCTATATTTAATAGTGATCTTATTGACTATGCTACTATTAATCACATTCTCTAGGCACCAACCTTTTTATATATTAATAGTACTGGAACTATACAAGGACTAAGGCTTTCTAGAATAAAGCTTTGCTTTAGAAGTTCATTCACTTATTTTTTTGAGTGTAGCATGTTTAATGGGGTTCATTTTATAATGGGAAAAATTTATTAGCTGTGAACCCGAATAAAGCTTTGGCCTTCCTAACAAGATATGTGTTATCTTCATAGGGAGGATATCACATTAGATTTGATCAATATAACTATTTATCTTGACGTGAACATGTCATTTGCTTCACCCGATTCATATGGAAAGGTTTTGGGTGTGGTTCAACTTTTAGATTTACTCTAATAAGGGCATAGCTAGATATAACATTGATAACACTCTCTCCATTGATCATTAAAATACATCTCTTTTCATTACACAAAACATATATAGAAGAAATATTTCTCCTTCTTCTCATATCCTCCTCCCAAGATGTGATTTTGCATCTCATGATACTTAAAAAATCTTTCACATGCTCTGACTCATTAAAAAGAAGTGTATCATCACGGATCTCTTTCACCTCATCATAAACTCCTTTATCATCTACTTC